TTATACTCAATAATCATTGTCCTCTTCAGTGATCGCGAGCAATTTACGACACAAGGCTCAATGTTGCAACCTCGCCTCTTGATTAGGGTTGACGATGGAATTCGTTGGGTGCGAGCACGCCGAACAGCATTCTACGTCGTGTGTGCCACCGAGCGCCAGGCCGCACCTTGCAGCCTCTTGCTGAGCTCCAGCGAGAACAGCACGTTGGCGAGTTTGCTGTCGCAGTACGCCAGCTTGGGGTCATACTTGCGGCGCTCCCAGTTGAGGTCGGAGAGGTCGAGGCATGCGGCCACCTGAGCCAGCGAGGACACGGTGACGACGCGGCTCGGGGCCGACGCACGCAGCTTGTCCAGCAGGAGGTTCGTCAGCAGGAAGTGGCCTGTGGCGGCATTGCCCAAAACCAGACTGTAAAAAATCCCAAATAGACCATCAACAACCCCCATCAAACCACCACAACTGCGGCCAGATCACTACAATCCTGGGCACCATAACTCTGTTACAAATCCACACTTTACAGCCATCGTCAGTGCCTTTGACGTCAATTGTCGTTATCCATCATTTTAAGATTAAGATCATCAACACAGGATATGTGTGGAGCCACTGAACCACAAAATTTATTAACTTGATGCTGGGCAACTTTGACAGGCACAGTTGGTAAATTTAGGGAATTTTTCGGCAATTATGCACTACCACAGCATGTTGTCTGTTGCGATGTGAAATTTAGAGACTTGTTTGCAAGCATTGGCCATTGTGCATCTGGTTTAGAGGTAAAACAAAAGAACTGCTTTATTTTAGCAAGAGAGCTGCAAATGAGTATGAAGACAACATTCGCAATATTTTTTGCCAATTCATTATTGAGTTTTTTTTATTTATGGGGGAGGTAATAAAGAGTGTCTGAAGAAATTACACAAATGATCCTCATGGCGGTACCCCAGGGTACTAAATAAAACTAAATGGCCGAGGCAATTAAATATTTTATTTCTGGGACACTGTTTTTTTCCAGGTGTGTACTTCACTCCGCGACTGGGGTAACCAATCAATCCGAAATCAGTGCCACACTCCGCGATGTCGAAATGCAGCGAGGACGATTGCGCCGAAACCCTGAACGCTCGCGGTACGCACCGTAGTGCATCGTGTACAGCTCGTCGAGATGAGTCGATTGCCACATCACCGACCATCAGCAGACTAAAAATTACTGCATCACGGACATTATGCGAGAGCCGGGGTACTATGGTACCCCGGGATACCGCCATAAAGTTCATATATTGGGGGCTAACAGTAAAAAATGTGTAGGTTGGCAACCTACTTGGCTCTACTGCCAACCACAAGAACCACGCTGCTGTTGCTGCTGCAGCTCACCCAGGTGGTTGACTCCGAACTGCATCTCGAAGCCATCCGCCGTCGTGCTGTGTGGACACCGCATCACGGCCGCGTTGTTGACCAGGATGTGAACGTTTTCCTCGTCTGCGGAGGCATCGTTACCCACAGTGTTAGTGTAACAACATGCTGTCCTTTGTCAATTCACTGCTCGACAAAGGCCTCCCGCGCCATGTTGATGAGGGATGTTTTAACATGCTCCTAAACACTGGTTAGTGGGGGTTGGTGAAGGTCAGAGTAATTCACTTCCTCCTCATACAAACAAGGTGGACCCTGCACCGGTGATAGAATTTCCATATTCCTCTGCCCCTGGCATATGAATCGGTATCTACCATTGGCAACTGTGTAGTTTCTGTTAAAACATTTTTTAAAATATACTTGACACAACAAGTCTAACTGCTGACACCAAGCCTGACTGCTTGTGGGCCTTGTACTTTTGGTGGAGACGACAATGTAAAAAAATGTAGAGCTTCACCGATTTTGAATCCTTTTTTATGAGAATAATCCTGCTTGGGATATTGGGTCAGTTCCCGATTGGGTATTTACACATATGAGAGGAAACTGGAGCGGCAGGAGAAAACCCACACATGCGGGGACAAGTCTGAAGTCCACCCAGGTGTGTTCGCCATCCCCTTGCTTTCATGCATCTTCTTAAAAATCCACGTATACCGGGCTGATTGTGACAGGGATCGGAGCAAGCGGTACGGCGTGACGCACCCTGGTTGATGTGCGCCGCGAAGTCTCGCACAGATTCGAGCGAGGCGAGGTCCAGGCGGCGCGCCACCACGCGTGGGTTCAGCGTCTCCCCGCGAATCTCCCGCGCCGCATCCTCGCACGCCGCCTCGTCGCGGCACGCCAGGATTACCCTCGCCCCTGCGCGCACCGCCAGAACGCACGCCCCCTCAAAACCAACCCAACACATGTCAACGTATATCCTTGCTTAATATGGGTGCAGTGGTGTAATGTAATTGGCATGAGTCCTCGTCCAAGGAATAAAATGGACACCCCTGTCCAAGTTCCAATATCCCCCTTCTTCATAGCCCAAAGTCGCAGATACAGTTACACCGCCTGTGTGGCTAGGAATGCACGTCAGTGGAATTATGACTTTAACAGCAGACTGCAACATTTACAAGCGTCTGAAACCAGTGAGCAACGAAGCTTGGGTTAGCACCAGCCCGTTCATCTTAATTGTCATGACGATCGGTGTGGCGCAGAGCACACGGCAACCGCGTTGGACAGCGGTGTGCCGCGATGCGCTGTGACGTGGCGACTGCATCACAACGCCACACCACGTGCCCGTGGCATGTGGCACGTGGTGCGGCACGGCGCACGAGTGCGTGCGTCGTGACCTCGGCGCGCCAGGTCGAGCGCCGTCTCCTTGCCGAGCCCCGTGTTAGCCCCGGTGACGATTGCCGTCTTGCCCTGCAGCACGGCCTTACTGCTGCAAAGCCCGCCATGCATGGAGTCCCTGCGCACACGGTGGTGGGTATGTAGTGAGTTCAACTGAGCCGCAGACGTACTCTTGGAGGCAACACATTTATTTAACACCAACACACGGGGTAACTGCCCCTTCACAGAATAACAACCTATGGTAGTGACACCAGGCTAACTACACTAATTACAACGTAACTGCTACTACGGCGCAGGACCACAGCTCGTGTCCGGGTCCACGTGTTGGAGACTTGGAGAACGTAGACGAAGGTTTCTTCAGGTGAACAACAACGCCGGGTCCCTCTGGGGGACCCGGCTTATATTCTCTGCGGCGTGGCTGGCTCCGCCCTTTGCCACGCCCACCTTCCAGAATCATCTAGCAGGATCTGGACCCCGACCACGTGACCACCCCTAGCCCCCACTTGGGGCCCCTTTGTAGACTTAACCGATCACGTGTCCTCTCGGGTCACCCAGAGTGCCATGGCCTCTAATAACCTCATTCCCACACCCTGCCCTGTAGGGGCTGGAACTGCACGCCGAGCGTGGTGCCATCCAGCGCTATCAATGTCACTACAGGTACACGGTGGTGGTACACAGTGGTGGATACACGGTGATGGGTATACGGTGGTGGGTACAGGGTAGTGGCACACGATGGACGAGGACCGGTGTAGGCGTTTTATTATTACACACTTTCTATAACTCACTGTCTGTTGTTGTCGTTGTATCCTCAAATCTTGTAACTCTAATTTAACCCACTTCACAATGTGGTATCGACTGCAAACTTGGTATACTTATGTCATACTGATGACAATACTATATTCTATCATAAAAAATAAATATGTTTAAACATTATTTTGTATATGTTATGTTTCGCCTTGGGTCTAATTGTCCACAGTCAACTGACGTTGGCTGTAAATCACCACGGGCCCCTTACGTTGTGGCAAACTTGGGGCCACTTCCTGGAGTCGTGGAATTCTTCCATTACCAGTTGGGTACATTTCATTAAAGCGTGTTTAAAAAAGGTATTTTTAAATATTACTTTTTATCACTGGGATTGCCCAATGAAACCACGGGGCTGGGTTTTATTTTACTAACTTCAAAAATATGAACCTATGTTTTTTTTAATCTTACCTTGTCCATCCAGGTAACGTCTCAACGGGATATCGCCTGGTTAAATAATTCATGATACTTGTACAATTCGAATTGGTGTCTTGAGACTAACACTGCAAGAGTCTGTGCATCAAGGTGAACCGTGCAGTTTGGTAGCTTGAAGAAGAGACTGTAGGGGGGAGGTTCACACCATGGCCACTTCGTTTCATTTATTACGAATGCAATGCCGTTTCTGTCTCAACGACTTCTCGCCTGGCTTTAAGAGGACATTTTCACGATGTGTTTGTCACAGGGCGCTGAGCAATGAGTTGCCTGAGGCAGTAAAGCAAATCGGTGACCTATCTGTGAGAAGTTTTAAAAAGTTTCCCTCTCCAATGCGTGCATTTTCTCCGGTCGATGGTTTCAACATCGAACAGTTGTGTGCGTTTTTTATTTAAATGCAGTCCTTAAAAATCATCCTATGGGGTAAATTCCTGAGTAAGAGGAGGAAATTCCACATTCTTATGGTGGTGGCAAGTTCATCTGAACGATGCCCGCACTTCTACTCACAACCCACTCACCAAAAAGTTGACCTCGACACCTTCAGTTCGCGTTAACATCTGCACAATCTTCGCGTGAACCTGTGACTCAATGTGTCAGGAGTAACCCCGTGTGCGCGTAACTCAACGCCCGGTTCCACCGATGCGCAGCGCCACGCTGCGCGTCTTTTCACTCGGGTACTCACTTGAGCAGCACAAATCCTCCCACCACGCTCCCCACCAGTGACGCGGGCAACAGGTACCGGTTCATGGTCGGGTGTAATGGGTAACCGGTTAGTTTTGATTAACGGGTGAGTTTACCGTCCACTCTCATTAAACCCGCAAGCCTCGATCGCCGCCTGTCATTCAAATCACCCGGCGGTCATGTTACGCAGGGAGGAGCGCCAAGTCAGTTGAGGGAGTGACGTCACCAATATGTTGTGGGGGGGGGTCCCTACGTAAGATGGCCACCGCGTTGACGCTGTAAAACATGACGTAATTCGCCCAGTCGTGGCGTCACCCTCCCCACTATCGTTGACGTCATTGCACACAAGTCACGTGGGAGTGACCCTGACCTTCCCGTCGGCGTCTACGGGTGGCGGCGAGGGACCCGACACGGCGATTGTGACGTAGCCGCCGGGGCCACGCGTTCCTGCATGGAACGTCGCAACATCGAGAGACGTCTTAACGACAAGTGAATGGAAACTTTTAATGCCGAATAAAAAACAAGAGCCCGTGTGCGATGTAATAATAATGCATCGCTCCATGGGACAGCTGCAGGCATTAGGTTAGCAGGTGCAAGTTGAGCTGATGATTCCGAGTATAAAACCAGCTTTAATCCGTGTGGTTAAAGATCACTGTGTGATTCGCACAGTTGTGGGTTTGGGTAGTAGCAAGAGTTGGAGTCGACTGATGATCCCCATTAAGGGGGTCACTAATATAGCGCGTCAGCGTGTTGAAAAAGGCATACTTGCAAATTATTACTGAGGGGAAACAGTCGTAAGGAAAACCCTAAGACTAAAGGTCACCTCTTAAATCACCCTCCCCCCCAAGTTCAAATTCTGTGAACGCAAAACAAGCCCAGAGATCTGAAGGGGAAACCTCGGAGCTGGCAACAATGCTCACGATCAGATCCCACCTCGTCAGGTACACACGGGATACAGAGTGCGTGGCTTTATTGGACAATCTCATCCAGATAACATGAACATACCTGGCCCTTAATACCTCATGGTTCTTCATTCCGAACATGACCCTCCAAAACAGTGTAAATAAAAAATAAAGCTTCACGCCGTCCTAACGTAATAACCAACAGAGCCAACAAACGTCTCGCCTCCCTCAAAAGTAACACATTCCAGTCGAACAGATTATCACCTTCATCTCATTCTTAAAACATAATAATCATCGTGTCGTCTAACACCTTGTCATCTTTACAAAAACTCCGCGCGCGCACAATCTATTTCCAACGTCTGGCAAACCCCTAATACTGTAACATAAAAGCCGCCACCACCAACGACCACATCATCATCATCTTCTTCTCACAGATGCCGACCAATCTCCGTCTCCCTCTACAATAAATAAATAAAAATCCCCTCCACCACCACCATCATCATCATCCCCGCCCGTCGCATGCGCACTGGGCGGGCGGGAGTGCAGCAGCAGCAGTCGCTAAGCGGGGCCTGGCGGCCGGCGCTGCTGCTACTGCTGCTCCTCCTCCTCCTCTTGAACCTTGAACCTCTCCATCTGCTGCCAAGCCACAACAGTCACCACCATCACACCGGGACCATCTCACGGCCATCAACACAGCCGTCGTCACCGTCGTCGTGGTTAGCGAGAGAGAGAGCGAGCGAGCGGTGGGGTCCAGCGAGCCGGGGAGGCTGCGCCTGGGAGGACCCCGCGGCCTGGCCGCTCGGGGCTCCGACCTTTGTGCCTCTGGCGCGTCCCGCCTCTCTTCTTCGAATTCTTTCAATTCGTCTCGTTCGGGTTGTTTTGTCCTGTTCGTGTTTTGGCTTCGGGGTTGTGCGAGCACGAAGCAAGAGAGGGAGACACGCGGCGAAGCAGCCTCGCCGCCTGCCGCCACACGCGCGCGCATCTCCTGCGGGGAAGGGGGCGAGGCGAGAGACCACCAGGGCAGAGAGACGACAGGGGTGGTGGTGGTGGCGGCATTATTATTATCTCTGCAACACCACGCAGTCGACGTGGGGCTGTGCTGCCGTTAACAACTCGCTAGAGGAGGAGGAAGACGAGGTGGTGGTGGGGTGGTTCTGCCTCGCTCGGCCGGGCCCGCGGGTTTCCATCACGGCGAACCCGGAGCAGAACTTGGGAAGTTCCAACGCCAGGTTTGGAAATCGGCACTGAAGATTCCATAATTTAACCACAGTGAATACATTACTTTGGGAATTGGCCTTAATACTACGGCAAGGTACACACGGGCTTGACTTACCATCGCTATATTCGAATTCTGGATCTGGATAAAGAAGAATTCGGGAGCCCGGAAATAAAAACTCGTCAAAATAAATTGACCTTAGGACTTGGGAACGCGAAGGTTAAAATAATTCTACCTGAACAAACCACAATATACATCTACGTTGTTAAACTCGACCTCCAGGTAGAATAAATCCTCTTGCAGATTCCCCAAGTACAGCTCGGGATCTGATTAAACCGAATCGGGAAAGCCAGATATCAACTTAAGGAATCTGTAGTTCAGAATCAAGGGTCATAAAACTCCACCTCGCCATTGTATAAAAGTCTAAACCGAATTATCCGTACACCGAACCGGGACCTCCATCGCGAGAGGACTGCCGAGAGAAGTCTGCATTTGGACGCTTTGCCGTCCGTGCGTCTGTGACCGGCGCCCACACAAATCGTCCGCGAGCACGCGAGGCGCGGGCCAGAGAGTCCCCGGTGGAGCCGCCGAGGCCATGGAGATGGTGGAGGAGGGCCCGGCCCCACCACGTGTAGGCCGCGCGGGCGAGGTGGCGGGCACGGTGCGGTAGGCACCCCCACCACCACCACCCCCACCACCACCCACCCAGCGCTCGAGACTCGCCTCCGTCGCCGCCTTCCAGCCCCTCGGTTTGGCGGCACTCCGTCGTCTTGTCGAGAGAGACCCCGGCGAAGAGGAAGGAGGTGGCCGGCGGTGGATGTGACGAGGGTCTTCTCTGTTGTGCGTGGGCCCGCCGCCAACCTTCCTTGTGTTGTGTTGAAGACACGCGCACAAACCTCCTGCAACTACTACAGTACTTGTAACTATCGCGACGGTGCCATCACCGTCGCCCCATCTCCGTGCGTGCGTCCCGGCGAGAGAATCGCCACCAACGCTGCTGGATCTTTACCGTCGGACTAACGCGCTCTATACAGTACAACACTGTACTACAGTACACGCCGAGCGCTGGGACAGAGGAGGCGGTAGGGAGAGGCTTTCGCATGTAGAGGAAGGATCAGCCCCGTGTGCCTCAGTGTGTGTGTGTGAGTGCCGTGTGTTGAGAGAAAGAACGAGAGAGAGGCACGATGCAGCCAGTCTACGACTTCAGCAGCGACGAGGCGGCCTCGAAATGGCGGGGACTGTTCATCGCGGCCCTGCGCAAGGTACGGACGCGGCCCCAGCGTCGTGTGGTCGTGGTGGTGGTGCTGTTGTACGCTGTGGTGTGTGAACACTGTGATGTGTCTACACTGTGATGTGTGTGTGTCTACACTGTGATGTGTGTCTACACTGTGGTGTGTCTACACTGTGTTGTGTGTCTACACTGTGGTGTGTCTACACTGTGATGTGTCTACACTGTGATGTGTCTCTACACTGTGATGTCTACACTGTGTTGTGTCTACACTGTGTTGTGTCTACACTGTGTTGTGTCTACACTGTGTTGTGTCTACACTGTGATGTGTCTCTACACTGTGATGTGTCTCTACACTGTGATGTGTCTACACTGTGATGTGTCTCTACACTGTGTTGTGTGAACACTGTGATGTGTCTACACTGTGATGTGTCTACACTGTGATGTCTCTACACTGTGATGTGTCTACACTGTGATGTGTCTACACTTTGATGTGTGTCTACACTGTGTTGTGTCTACACTGTGTTGTGTCTACACTGTGATGTCTCTACACTGTGATGTGTCTACACTGTGATGTGTCTACACTGTGATGTGTCTACACTGTGATGTGTCTACACTGTGATGTGTCTCTACACTGTGATGTCTCTACACTGTGTTGTGTCTACACTGTGATGTGTCTACACTGTGATGTGTCTACACTGTGATGTGTCTCTACACTGTGATGTCTCTACACTGTGTTGTGTCTACACTGTGATGTCTCTACACTGTGATGTGTCTACACTGTGATGTGTCTCTACACTGTGATGTGTCTCTACACTGTGATGTGTCTCTACACTGTGATGTCTCTACACTGTGATGTGTCTACACTGTGATGTGTCTCTACACTGTGATGTGTCTACACTGTGATGTGTCTACACTGTGATGTGTCTACACTGTGATGTGTCTAAACTGTGATGTCTCTACACTGTGATGTGTCTCTACACTGTGTTGTGTGAACACTGTGATGTGTCTACACTGTGATGTGTCTACACTGTGATGTGTCTACACTGTGATGTGTCTACACTGTGTTGTGTCTACACTGTGATGTGTCTACACTGTGTTATGTCTACACTGATGTGTCTACACTGTGTTGTGTCTACACTGTGATGTGTCTACACTGTGATGTGTCTACACTGTGATGTGTGTCTACACTGTGATGTGTCTCTACACTGTGATGTGTCTCTACACTGTGATGTGTCTACACTGTGATGTGTCTACACTGTGATGTGTCTACACTGTGATGTGTCTACACTGTGATGTGTCTACACTGTGATGTCTCTACACTGTGTTGTGTCTACACTGTGATGTGTCTACACTGTGATGTGTCTACACTGTGATGTGTCTACACTGTGATGTGTCTACACTGTGATGTGTCTACACTGTGATGTGTCTACACTGTGATGTGTGTGTGTGTACACTGGTGTGTGTACACTGTAATGTGTGTGTGTACACTGGTGTGTGTACACTGTAATGTGTGTGTGTACACTGGTGTGTCTACACTGTAATGTGTGTGTGTACACTGGTGTGTCTACACTGTAATGTGTGTGTGTACACTGGTGTGTCTACACTGTAATGTGTGTGTGTACACTGGTGTGTCTACACTGTAATGTGTGTGTGTACACTGGTGTGTCTACACTGTAATGTGTGTGTGTACACTGGTGTGTCTACACTGTAATGTGTGTACACTGGTGTGTCTACACTGTAATGTGTGTGTGTACACTGGTGTGTCTACACTGTAATGTGTGTGTACACTGATGTTTACACTGTAATGTGTGTCTATGTACGCTGTGATCCGTGTACACTGAAGTTTGGTATACCACAGTTATGTGTACTGTGGTGTGTGTACACTTTTACGTGTGTAGTGTGATGTGTGTACACTATTACGTGTGTATTGTGACGTGTGTACACTGACTTGGGTACTATGATGTGCGTAGACTATTACACCAATACTGTGATGTGTATTCACAACAATAATAATGTGTGTACATAATTAATTGTGTACAGAATGATGGGTGTGCACTGCACGCTGATGTGCATATGCTGATTTGTGTGTACGCTATATGATGTGTATTATGATGTGCAACTTGATGTATGTGCACACTTTGTGTGTAGAATGTGATGTGGAGTGTAGAGCTGATTTCTCATGCTGTCAACGTGCACGAGGCTGAGCGCAGTGTGAGCTGTGTACCGCAAAACGTGTTATGCAATCATAGGTGTGTGTGTTGTTATACGTGCACTGCACTATTTTCCCTTTGATGTGTGCAGCGCGTGTGCTTGTGAAGTGTTTGTGATTGCAGTACTGTACACCACTCACAGGCCTGTGCACACTGGAGTGTGTGTACTCTGATACTAGGACCCCATTGTGTTGTGGGTGCTACACTTGGCACCGCATGTACTTGTGCTGCTAAGTGCAGCACTGCTTGTGTGAGAGTGCTGCACTAACAGAGGCCTGTGTACTATGTTGCTCTTGATTAGAGTGCCGTGATGGAACGTGCACTCGGACATTCAGGCGCGATGGTGCACCATGCACAGAGTGTTGTGTCCCACGCACTGCGTGTGCCCCATTGATACGCATAGGGTACGAACATTTTAGTAGCGAGGGGGGGGGACCCCGTTGCATGTACTCAGTCGTGGGCGTGTGTGTACCGTTTTGAGTGTTTACGGCCCTTCTTCGCTGGGGTGTTGTGCGGTGAGTACAGGCGGCTTGTGCTGCGCTTGGCGTGCCTGGCACAGCACACAGCAGCAACAGCCCGTGTGCCCCGGAGGACAGTACAGGTTGAACGCTCGGCGTGTTTGTAGGACCGTGCGTTCCTGCCGATGTTGATGTTGTTGCCTTAGTTTGACATTGGCCGTGTTGAATGTTGCGGTGTTGTCGTTTGAGAGTGCCGCCCGTGTTGGTGTGATACGCTGGTGCGTGTTGTTGGCGTACGCATTTGAGTGTGCCCTGGGCCCCGCACTCCCAGGCGCGCGTGTGTGTTGTGTGTGTGTGTGCTACGAAGCACAGTTCACGTGCGTGTGTGTGCACTGTGGTGAAAGCTCTCCTCTTCGCTGTCACTGATGCTGTACAGTACATGGGTGGTGTTTGTGACCGCGCTGTGTTTGGTCAGTGGCATTGTTTTGTGCTTTGGTGCGTGTGCTGCGATTACGCATTGTGGAGTATTTGGCTGCTATACATATCCACGTAGTCAGTCACTTCGTTGAGCTGTCATTTGTGGCCAGGTTGCTTCTGATAAAGAGCTACGTAACTCAGTGGGCCTTACCTGGTGAAAAAACAAATCCAGTTTAGCATTCATGTATGCATGAGCTGTACGTGTAGTGTGTGTGGAGTGTTGGTGTATCTCGACCGGGCCTGGGCCTTCCCTAGGTTGACTCAGCCTTAATTGAGTTATTTGGTATGGTGTTGAAACATCAGCAGTGGGGAGACAAAGGCCGCCAGGCGCGGTTTTAGCCACACCACCCCCTCGTGCGCTATGCTGCACGTTATCAGGCTCGCGAACAGCACCGTTCCCAACAGCTCATGTAGGTAGGCAACGTGGGGGATCTTGGTCTTCGGTGCATCTCTTGGTGTACACATTTTTGGTTAGTGTGCATTGCGGTATGTGCCGTGGTGCATGTGTGCTGTGGTGCCGTGGTGCACGTGTGCCGTGGTGCATGTGTGCCGTGGTGCATGTGTGCACACGCTCCTCGCTGCTGACGCTCCGGGTGTCGGGAGAATGGGCGTTTAGATATCCGGCATCTCTGGTAGCGCACCTCATCTGTGCCGGTGAGAACATAGGTTAGAGTCCTGGTCTCCAGTGTGATAGAACGCCAGAGTTTTAATATGCGGTAAATTTGATGTCCACAACCCAGTGTGGTCACCAATGACGACACTATTTATGTGTCGTATAAAATGTGCCTTTTGCCTCTAATTTAGCCGAGCTCTCTATTCTTGAGGATTAATTGGCCTGTCCGATAGCGACAGGCCAAACCACTGGCTCGTCTGCACAGCTGAAGTGGATTTGTAAGATAGTCCCTTGAAGGATATTATTGCGGCACGTGTCTGTTGCTTGTATGAGGATAGCAAGAGCAGCCTGCATTATTAAACATTTTGCTGAGTAGTACATGGACGGTCTGCAGGAAGAATTGGGATACAAATTGTGAAAGAGTGCAATAGCAAATGGAGTAAAACAAACCAAATAAATAAAGAATGGATGAGGAAGAAGAGAGTGAGGAAACTACCGCTTTGCAGAGCATGCAGAACGCACGCCGCTGCCACGACCAGACGAACGCTCCCATCGTCGCTAGCCTCGTCACCGCTCCGACGAGGAAGACGCCTCGCGTCGTGAGCCATGGTCGCAACCTTTGCAAGACCCCCTTCACTCTGCCCGCATGGCTCATGCGATGCGAGAGATACCTCGTTGGAAAGCGGCAGTAGAATGTGACCGATGGTGCTGTTGCTGGCGATGATTAATCCGCTTGTGGTACAGGTGACGGGGTGGATTATTACATTTCAGGATCGTGAAGAGCTTGCAGCAGCTTATGTTGGCTTTCATCCAGCTGTGGATTCATCATGGCTGATTATGATAATCATTAATGTTGAGTGCCGCAATCATCCATGTATCCCCCCCCCTAATCTTCGCCACTATCGTTAAACCTGAGGGTTCTATCATGCCAGCCCATGGACATCATTGCAACGTGTGCATAGTCTCTGAGTTTTAATTCGCAACATCTTAAAGCACGCTGCCCGTCAGTAGGCTTGGAAAGTTGTTGCCCTATGCTGCAAAACAGCGGTCGTGTTTCGTGCCATGCTGCGTATTTTAGTGACATGTGTACAACATACTATATATGTGCTGTGCATAAATAGTCTGCCTTTTGGCCAAGTCAGCACTTGTTGAGTGAAAAGTTATTTTAAAAAACACCCAAAATTTCTTCATCTGTTGAGCCTCCCTGAGTAAGACCAGCTGGCTGAAACGTCGACTGTTAGCAAAGAGCAAAACGAGTCTTGCTGTTTATTCA